ATTATGAAATAAAATTACTAAGTAAATTAGGAAAACATGGGAAGATGTACCTGTGAGATATATGGACAAGGGAAGAGTTTATGACTAAACAAGTGATAGACAGGATCATGGGAAGTATAATGGATAATTGTGATTAAAGGAAATTTAAAAGTTTTTGCACAAATAAAACTAATGCAGCAAAAAGTAGAAGGAAACCACAAAAATGGGGAAGATTTATAACAAGTTTCTCTGATAAGAGGCTCATTTCTCAAATGTATTAGAAATGGTGCCAAAATTATGAAAACAAGAGTCATTCCCTAATCAATAAGTAGTCAAATGATATGAAGAACCAGTTTTCAGAAAAAGAAGTCAAACCTATTAAAGTCACATTTAAAAAATGTTCTAAATCCCTACTGATTAGAGAAATGCAAAGTAAAACAGCTCTAAGATACCACCTCACACTTATCAGATTGGCTAACATGACCTAAAAGGAAAAGTGACAAATTCTGGAGGGTATGTGGAAAAATTGGGACACTAATGCATTATTGGTGGAGTTGTAAAATAGTCCAACTATTCTGGGAAACAATTTGGAGTTATGCCCCCCTAAACTATAAAACTGTGCATACCCTTTGACCCAGCAATACCACTACTAGGTCTATATCACAAAGAGATCAAAGAAAAGGGAAAAGGACTTAAATATACAAAATTATTTACAACAGCTCTTAGTGGTGGCAAAGATTTGGAATTAAGGGAATGTCCATCAATTGGGGAATGACAAGACAATTTGTGGTATGTCATTATGACACAATACTGTTTTACTAAAAGAAATGACAAGCATGGTAGTTTCAGAAAAGTCTGGAATGACCTATACGAACAGATGCAAAGGCAAGAAAGCAGAACCAAGAGAACATTGTACACAATAACAGAGATATTGTATGGATGCAGCCTGTGCTTGGTTCCAGTCAAAGTCCTGTTTGGGACCCCCTTGAGGCAAGGACACTTCTACATTGCTTGTCTGAAGGAAGCAGTTTCAGAAGCCAAGAACTTTGCCCCTTACCCCAAAAGAATTTGGGTCCCATTTGTATGAGGGAGGAATGATGATGATGGGATATAGACCCCAAAAAGGAAAAACCCTGGAATTTCCCACATGGTCAAATCTCTGGCATTTGCCTGAGGCTATAATCCCATCAACTGGCCTTTCATTGTGACTGTACCCAATCTTCCAATTCTGTTACCTTTAACCTAGTTTAGTCCTCCATTGTCTCTCCTCCCTATGGCCCCAGGCCACTTCTCACCATTAATCCTATCTAGGTTCTATTCCCCCTTGGCCACCTGGTTCAGGATCCTGGAGTTCTATTACCTCACAGACTATTTGGCCACTCCTAGATCCCTCCCCTAGTCTTTCTGTATATAAGATCCATCTTGTTTCCATTAAGATGCTTAGCTTCTTATAACCTAGCCATGGGCTCAGATTCTGATAATCTAGCCAATAACTCACTAACATTCAGACTCCTTAAGAGTCTTCCCAATATGACAGATATTCTAATAAACCTTGAGTTCGGCTGGGAAAAAAAAAAGGAAGGTGAATTGTAATACCGTGTGACAGTACTCTGATAAAGACAATGATCTAAAACAGGGATGGGGAACCTACAGCCTAGAGGCCACATGTGGCCTTCTAGGTCCTTGGATGTGGCCTATTGATTAAGTTCCAAGTTTTACAAAACAAATCCTTTTATTAGAGGGATTTGTTCTGTGCAGTTGGATTGTCAAAGGGCCACACTTAGGGACTTAGAGGGCTACATGTGGCCTCAAAGCTGCAGGTTCCCCACCCCTGATCTAAAACAATTTCAAAGTATCCATGGTGAAAAATGCTATCCATCTACAGAGAGAACTGATGAGCTCTGAGTGCAAAATGAGGCAAACTTTGTTTTACTTTATTTACTTTTGTGTGCATATGTAGGTGCTCTGTTATAATATGGCTAATAAGGAAATATGTTTTACATGATTTCACTTGCATAATTTATATCAAATTTCTTGCCTTCTCAAGGAGGGAGAAAGAGAGAAAGAAAGGGAGAGAGTTTGGAACTCAGATTTTTTAAAAACAAATGGGAAAGTAATTGCATATATATAAGAAAAATTTAAGGAGTTACATTTTTTAAAAAATTGGGTGGAAGATACTGCTTTCAGCTGAAGGGGATCAGTGAAGATGTTTAGGGGACAATGGCATCTGAGTTCAGCCTGAGTTGAGAAAGGAAAGAGAAATTTAGAAAACCAGAGATGATGAGGAAATGAATTTCAGCCATTTGAAACTATCTGTATAAATTTATGGAGAGTAACCATAGACTTCGAGCTGAAAGGCATCATAGCATCATTAATTTATTTCTGAAAAACCTCAGAGATCATTTAGTCCAAGACTCTCATTTTATAGCTAAGAAAATGGAGATTCAGGGAGATGAAAAGATTTGCTAAAAGTCACACAAGTATCAAGTAGAACAGCTAGGATTTGAATCCCTATATTTTGACTATAATTCCAGTACTTTTTGCCCAGCTATTCATCAAGTGTAAAGAAAATAATTAAAATTGGCATAGCTCTTTGAGATTTAAAAGGCACTTTACATACCTATTATCTCACATTCTTCACAATGATCCTGTGAGAAGGGCAATATTACCATCCCCATTTGAGATATGGGCATACAGACACTAACATAAGTTGGATGAATTGTCTGGGGTCACATAGCTAATAGATGTCTGAAGAAGGATTCAAACTCAGGCTTTCCTGACTCCAAGTCCAATGGTCTCTCCATTTGCCTTTAAGACAAAACCAGCAGCATAGATTGGCTGGAAAATATAATGTGCATAAAGGAATAATGTTAAACATGGATAAAAACATGTGGTTTTAGATAATGAGACTGGAAAGAACCTTAAGCTTGAAGGAAAAATATATTCTTTCCTCTTTTTCCATTTGTGATAAGGATCTTCTGAAACTTTTGGTAGGAAAATGGCATGGTTAACACCTGGACTTGAGGAGAGCTATGTGTGAAGACTATATTGCATAGAAGAAGGGAGCAAGACATTAGAGGCAAATAGAGTAATTAGCTATGCTCTAAATGATTTGAATGATGGGGACATGACCTGGGATATATGATGTGAGTGAAGAGAAGGGAAATGGTGTGAGAGATATTGTGGAGAAAAGATCAACAGAATTTGGTTGGCAACTGATTCATTGGGAACACATGGTAAGAGGACAAAGATAACTAAGCTTATGGTGAGTGAGAGGGTGCTGTGCGGCCCAAAACTAAAATAAGGAAGTTGAGAGTAGAACAGAGGTGTGATGGTGAACAGAGACTGAAGTTGGTCCCAGAGATCAGTTCTATCACTGAGATTCTGAGTGAAAATCATTCTATAAATCCAATAATTGAGTCATAGAACCTAAATTGCCTTTTACATCATATATTCATACTGGACTTTCAGAAATAAAATTACAACCAAGTCATGTGGACAAATTACAATTATTTATTTAATGAAAGGAAATATTTTCTTGAGGGCTATTTTGAAATCTTTGTTGCGTAGAGTGTAAATGAGAGGATTTAAAGTGGGGCTGATAGTGGTGTATAAGACAGCCACTACTTTGACATTGTCCATGGAGGACCCAGAGCCTGGGAGAATGTATGTGTATATGACTGTGGTATAATATATAGTGACCACGATGAGGTGGGAGGAACAGGTAGAGAAGGCTTTCTTCTTGCCCTCTGTGGTGCGAATCTTCAGGATGCTGCAAATGATGAAGCCATAGGACACCATAGTGAGCACAAAATTAATCACCCCAAAGTATATATCTGCAATGATGATCATAATATTGTTCAGGTATGTGGAGGTGCAGGAGAGCAGTAGCAAAGAAGGGATTTCACACAAAAAGTGATTAATCTTATTTGGTCCACAGAAGGTTAACTGAATCATAAGGCCAGTGTGTACTGATGAACCAATGGCAGTCATGGCCCACACACTAGCAGCTAAGAAGATGCAAACCATTCTGCTCATCATGGTAGTGTAATGGAGGGGGTGAC